TCCATGATTCTATGATTCTATGATTCAGGTTGTTCTGGGTTCTTCATTCTTTGTTATCTTGTAAATCCATCTCACAGGCAGCTTCTTAGGGGTCTGAGAGGGGTCTTGCCCTGTGAGCAACTGATATTTACATCGACTGGTGTTGGACCTGCTTTTATGACATTAGGTGGGATCCCTTCCTTATCCTTACCCCAGCTAAAGGGGTTCCTGATGTCTGCAGAGCAGAAACCTAAGTAGAACAGATACTAGTGCCCCAAACACCTTTAGGCTTTATTGTTAGTCTACATTTTGTTTTGTTTCACATAGAAATCCTATATTATGGCAGCATGCAAAACCTGCCTGCACAAATTTCCCTCCTGTTTTCCTGTGGGAATGAGTGTGTCTGCTCAGGCTTTTCAAGCATGCCTGTGAATGATGCAAGCAAAATGGGCTCTGCTCCTCCTGCTGACAGTCCTATGCTCTAGCAGTAATACCAGCCCTATACATTGGGGTCATGGTTTTGTCGGAAAATATTATATTTCATATACAAAAACCCAACACAAAGTTAATAAAAACTGAATTCTTCAGCTTACTCTTTCATTAATATCCATTTTCTTAAGGAATTACTTCAGTTACTGACTTCTCATCAGGTGAAGCTCACTATTTGCAGCAAACTTAAATGCCTCATCAAACTGTTATGAACAGTTAGTGTGTGGCACCTCTGCTTTTGTCTGAAGATGTATGTGTTTTCTAGTATTGTGTTTGAATAAAAGGAAAAGCTACCAGCAGTAGCCTGTCCCTGTTTTCTTGTGCTGAGGAACACAACACTGAACACGTCACCCAGATTTGTCTCATCGGTCTGAGCAGAGAAACAGAACCATCTCCTTTGACCTCCTGGCAATGCTCTGTCTGATGTGATCTAGGACGCTGCTGGCTGTGTTAAAGGAAAAGTTACAAAGATCCATTTCAGTGTTGCTAAAAAAGTTCTAGTTGGTTTAGACCACACTGGCCTAAACAAAAAACTGCCCCTAAGCATCTATAAACACATATGCAGCACTTTTCAGACTGTTTGTCTATTTTGTAGTTTATGTCACTACAAGAAGGCTGGAGAGGAACTTTTAACAAGGGAATGTAGTGACAGGACAAGGCAGAATGACTAAACTGAAAGATGGTTGGTTTAGACTAGATATTAGGAAGAAATTCTTCACTATCTGGGTGGTGAGGCACTGGAACAGGTTGCCCAGTGTTGGATGGGATGGGTTAAACTGGCAAGGAGGACTGTAAATCAATCAAGTAACGTTGCAGCTGGGAATATCTTGATACGCCTGTGTGAACAGCAGGCCAGTGATCCTCTAGTGTGGACCAAGTTTTAAGAGTGCCCGCATCTCCGCTTGCGTACCTCTGCCCAGGTTGGTTCCAGAATCCCTCAGGTAGTGAGGTAATGGGAATAAATTTACTCTTTGCAGTCTAGCTGTGAGTTTGTGGTCCTCCCAGCTGCCTGCTTGTGTCGACAAACACCTAGAGAAGTTGTGGATGTCACATCCCTGGAAGTGTTCAAAGCCAGGTTGGATGGGGTTTTGAGCAACCTGGTCAAGTGGAAGGTGCCCCCCCCAGCAGGGGGATTGGAGCTAGATGATCTTTAATGTCACTTCCAACCCGAACTCTTCTATGATTCTGTGATTTTCACTATTACTGCTTCCTGTACTAGGGAACCAAGGTTAATGCAGGCTTTCTTTCTATATGCTGCAGCTACACCTTTTCATATCAGTTTGTTAAAGTACTTGGTGTTTTGAGCTAAAATACTGAATTTTCAGCCCATACTACTGATCCTTTCTGCCAAGTCTGCTGGAGGATGGAAATGGCAGCGCAGATTGGAGGACAAGAGGTAGCTTCTTGTCTTTAGTGTGATATTCTAAAGATAGCACAGTAACATTCTTAATTTGGTGCCTTAGTGGTGACTGAGCTATTTCCCAAATATCTGGTAGCAAGTACATGGTGTAGCTTCATGTTTTAGAGTTGTGATGTCCTGTGCTGTTTGTTTCTCAGTACGAATGGTCTGGTTCTTCCGTCTGTAAGAGCTAAAAGCAGAGCTGGCCTTCCTCTGTAAAATGACTTGCTAGTGTCAGCCCATAATGTGATAGATAACCTTGCTGTATAAACAACATGACTGACAAACGCTGCTTGAGAGACTGAATTTAAAATCAAGAAGTCTGAAAATAGAAGCCAAAGAAGCTACTGCATAAAGTCTGAGCCATGTTTCTCCATGGACATTTCTAGGAAACTTTACCTCCAGAGCTTGTAAAAGGAGTGAATCAACTAATACATCTCCAAACATTTCTCTCGTTCTTTTGAGTCCTTCATAAAAAGCACAGGATTCAATAAAGCAGCCTTTCCCTAAAGAGAACCCATCACCAATCTAACTGCATTTCCTTTCTCAAACAGAGATCAGATGCTGTACAAGAGAGCACAAAAGACATTGCAAAACAACCTTCCCACAATGAAAGCTTCTTCATAATTATAATTAGAATTACTTTTGAATTAGAAACAGCCTGTACAATTCATGCAGCCTGAGAGACTTCCTGCTCCATGGAACTACAAAATAATAACCTAGAGTGGCCTGCATCAGACCTTGCCTTGCAGAATTAATTTTGTCTCCTGGACATCACTGGGAGTTTTGTGATAGATTCATAGTGACTGGGGAGAGGGAAACACTGTGATAAGACAGTTTCCTAACTGTTAACACAGTCCATGATGCTGACCTACAAACTTTCACACCCAGGCCATTTCTGGTGGAGCAAGAAACACTTTTTTGGTGTCCAGTGTTTTTCCTTGGCTTCTTTCTGACCCTGGTGACAGCTGCATGTGCTGCGTTTGTTTCCAAATCCAAATGCTGACTGATGCCAGCTGCCAAGTCAGAAGTTTCATGCTAAAAGCTGCTCAGTTTGCATGAAGGTGCCCTTGGAAATTTTGCTTTCTGCATTATGTTTACACCACCATTTACAGGGAATGAAAGAAAAACACATTGTTTCAAAACAAGGATTAATCAACATTTATTAAAAGCAGGTTATTTCAGTTTTGTACTGTGATTACTATATTAGAGTAAGCATTCGGTCCAACAAGTGCCCATTTTACTGTTGGAACAAAAGATTTTAATGCAGGGTTCTTCTAATAATAGGTCAGTGAAAATATTTTTTTAAAAAATGTCTGGCACACTTGGAATACCTACTAATTTTAATGGGAGATAACAAGCTACTCATTTATCATTTACAATTTCTGTTTCTTCTGCTATCCAATGGTGACTTCTCTTGAGCATAAAAACTGCTCAGCTACACAAGTAAGTCACGGGAATCAAAACACATAGAGAAGTCATAGTTCAAACTAAGTTTGTAAATTACTTCTATAAAGGCTGTAATAGCTCCTGTAAATTCTGAAGCAACTGCAGAGGATGCTCTATATTGTGGCACTTATTTCATGACTCTTTTATACTTTGCTGCAGATCTTATACCTGTTTAATACTTTCGCCTGTCTCCTGATACCCATCATGTATCTGGTGGCCTTTTGCTTCTCTTCAAATGAGGAAATTCCAAACTCACCCACTCCATAAACACCCACCTCTGCTGCCCTGGTTTAGTAACCTCATCTTCATGCCAATGGAGTTGAGCATGGGGACAAGAAAGGGGATCAAGATTAAGCTTGTTATAGGAATGTCATCCTAAATTTATTCAATATTTCACTTTCTTTGTCTTCTCTTTTCAATTTTCCTTAATGAATTTGACTTTTGTTCTCCCAGTGCTAATACAATCCTAGATGCTTAAAATTTAAAACACCGTAGCAATTTTCACGAAGACTTTATTATTATACATTATCAGGGACATAAGATTATACAAATGTTTGCATCACTTTTACTTTCATGGATCCATTATTTCTCATCTCATCCACCATGATCCAGTTCTGGAAGCAGGTTTTAGAGCTCCTTGAGAGATTCCATGTTATGAATTCTGCCTTTTGTATACAATAGTTTTCTCAGTCTGTCCAAGTAAGTAAAACTCCACTTGGAAAAGCAAATACACGATGTGGCAAATAATAAAAAAGAGATGCTTAATACTACATTTTTAAGTAGTCTATGTGCTATTCAAGGTTAAATAACTTCAAAGTCAAAACCAAAAATCATCTGCACCACTGCTCCGTGTACTTGCTCTCTCTCTGCTTTTTAACCGCAACATGTCCATGACACTGCGTGCGTATATGTCTCGCAAATTAACATTGATATTGGAATCACTGGATGAGTTCTTCATGAGTTTCTTCAAAGCTTCACGCTGCCGAAGAGCAGCTTCTTTTATCTTCAGTGTAAAGTAACAGGCAGAAAACCGGTCATTTATTATAGCTATTGGCAAAGCCAAAACAAGTATTCCTGATAGTATACACATAAAGGCTACTACCTTACCCATGGTAGTGTCTGGTCTAATGTCACCATAACCAACTGTTGTCATGGAAGTTGTTGCCCACCACCAAGCACCAGGTACGCTTGTGAAAGTTGTGCCTGGCACACCTTGCTCAACAAAGTACTCCACAGTGGAAAATATAGAGATTCCTACAGAGAGGAAAAGCAGCAGAAGGCCAACCTCCTCATAGCACTGAGCAATAGTCATCCCAAGAGACCGCAAACCTGAAAGACAAGAAATGCTGTCAGTAAGTTGATTTATGTAGCTGTCACCAGCTTTGCAAAACATCTCTCAAAAGCTGACTGCTTTATGTTTTTCTTCGACTGCTAGTGAACATGTCCTGAGAATCACAGAGTTAATAAGGCTGGAAAAGACCTCCAAGATCGAGTCCAACTTTTACCAAACACCACTTTGTCAACTAAACCATAGCATTAAATGCCACATAATTTCTTGAACATTTCCAGGGAAGATGACCTCTCTACCTCCCTGGGCAGCCCGTTCCAATGCTTAACCAGCATTTCCATGAAGAAATTATTCCTGGTGTCCAACTTGGACCTCCCCTGACACATCCTGAGGCCATTTCCTCTAGTTGCCTGGGAGAAGAGGCATACCTCCACCATGCTACAAACTCCTTTCAGGTAGTTGTATAGAGTGATAAGGTCTTCCCTGAGCCTCCTTTTCTCCAGACTGAACACCCCAAGCTTCTTCAGCCTTTCCTCATATGACTTACTCTCTAGACTCTTCAACAGCTCCATTGCCCTTCTCTAGACATGCTCTAGCACCTCAAAGCCTTTCTTGCAGTGATGGGTCCAGAACTGGCCACAGTACTTGAGATGAGGCCTCACCAATGCCCAGTATAGGGGGATGATCACTTCCCTAGTCCTGCTGGCCACATTATACAGGCCAGGATGCCACTGGCTTTCTTGGTCACCTGAACACACTTCTGGCTCCTGTTCAGCAACCTGTTGATCAGCATCGCAGATCCTTTTCCACTTGGCAGCTTTCCAGCCACTCTGCCCCCAGTCTGGAGCACTGCATGGGGTTGATGCAACCCAAGTGCAGGACCCAGCACTTTGTATTACTGAGCCTCATACCACTGGCCTCATCCCATCAATCCAGCCTGTCCAGATCCCTCTGCACAGAGCCTTCCTACCCTCCAGCAGATCAAAACTCCCACCCTACTTAGTGTTCCCAGCAAACTCACTGAGGCTGCACTCAATTCCCTCATCCAGATCATCAATAAAGATATTGAACAGGACTGCCCCCAGTACTGAGCCTTGGGGAACCCCACTGGTGTCTGGCTACCAACTGGATGTTGCACCATTCACCACCACCCTCTGGGTCTGGCCATCCAGCCAGTTTTTAACTCAGCAAAGAATGCATCTGCCCAAGCCATGGGCTACCAGCTTCTCCAGGAGAATGCTGTGGGAGACAGTATTAAGGCCTTTACTGAAGTCCTGGTAGACTACATCCATAGCCTTTCCCTCATCCACTAGGCAGACCATCTGGTCATAAAAGGAGATCAGGATGGTCAACCCTTGGTTGGACTGGCCATTCCTAAACCCATGCTGGCTGGTCCTGCTGGTTGTCCTGTGTGTGTCATGTGATCACACTCAAAACAGTCTGCTCCATAACCTTTCCTGGCACTGAGGCAAGGCCTGTAGTTCCCCAGGTTCTCCTTCAGACCCTTCTTGTACATGGGCATTACATTTGCTAACTTCCAGTCATCTGGGACCTTCCTGGTTAACCAGGACTGATGATAAATCAAGGAGAGCAGTTTAATGAGCTCTTCTGCCAGCTCCCTCAGTGTCCTTGGGTGAATCCCATCCAGGCCCATAGACTTATGACTGCCTAAATGGCACAGCAGGTTATTAACTATTTACTCCTGGATTGCAGGGGGTCTACTCTGCTTCCCATTTCTGTTGACCAGATCAGGGGGATGGCTGCCTTGAGGATAACTGGTCTTTCTGTTAAAGACTGAAGTAAAGAAGGCATTAAGTACCTCAGCCTTTTCCTCATCCTTGCTGATAGCATTCCCTCTCTGTGTCCAATAAAGGATGGCGATTTTCCTTGGCCCTCCTTTTGTTGTTAAAGTATTTATAAAACCACTTTTTATTACCTTTCACAGTGGTGGCCAGATTGAGTTCTAGCTGAGCCTTTCTAATTTCATCTCTGCATGACCTAACGAAATCCTTGTACTCTTCCTGAGTTGCCAACCTCTTCTTCCAAAGGTCATAAACTCTGTTTTTTCCAAGTTCCAGCAAAAACTCCCTGTTCAGACAGGCTGGTCTTCTTCCCCACTGGCTTGCCTTTGGCACATAGGGATGGATTGCTCCTGTGCCTTTAAGATATCCTTCTTAAGGTACGTCCAGCTGTCCTGGATCTCTGTTTTTAAGGGCTGTTTCCCAAGGGACTCTCTGAACCAGTGTCCTGAACAGGCCAAGGTCTGCCCTCTGGAAATCCAAGGTAGAGGTTTTGTTTACTGCCTTCCTCATTTCATCAAGAATTGAAGACTCATTTTGTGGCCACTATGTCCAAGATGGCCTCTGACCACTGTATCTCCCACCAGCTCTTCAGCTTGTCTAGTGGGGCACTGTCCCTGGTAGGCTAAAAAGAGGTGCTGCTCTCAACACTTCTGAGAAAAAGTGATTTAAAGAAATAGATCACAGTGTTAGACTGAACCACTGTTATCATCTCTATTTTCTTAATACAGAACACAGAAATCCTCTTCATTACTTATAATTTGAACCACATGCACACATAATTTAGAAAAACTAACCTATTTTGATTTATCAATTGACTATAAGAGAAGATCTAGCAGAGTTTTGAATGTTATCTCAATGACTATTTAAAAACACACTAAAAGCACCTGCTTCATACTTTGAGTCTGAATATGCCAAGCTCCTGTTTTCCAGCCATTGTCCTATTTTTCTCTTGGACCAAGCAACCCTCCATTACCAAATTCATGTTCCCAGGTGAGTGCTTAGAGCATAGTTCAGTCACTCAGTAACTTGGTCTTTGTTATGTACTGTTTTCAATCCTCTTATAGTTGTCACAAACTCTGTTCAATCCCTCTTTCCTCCCCAAAACCTACTGTTATCTTGTATCTGTAGCCATCAGAACAAATACAGTTTTCCAGCAACAGCTGCACTCATGCCAAACTGGAGACAGCAAAGCCTCCCAATGCAAGCATGGAATCCTGTTAATTCTCTGCTGTACTGCATCAGTCCTGTTGCCTGTGAGCTGCACAGGAAGTTTGGGTGCAGCCAACCACTCTCCATAACCCTCTACATTCCCTTCAAGGCTACACTACCCAACAAAGGAAGCAGGAAAGTAAATCTGCAAATACTGCAATGGATATATGTTGCACACATAAACAAAGAAGGAAGATAACAGGGTACCAATTCAGCTGAAACATGTGAGACTGAAATTGTCTTTTGAATCACAAGTGACTTCGTATTGTTTTTGAATGCTGTTCTTTAAAAATGTGCTGTAGTTTCTCTAATCAATGAGAAAAACACTGCTTATGAATTACCCTTCACGGGGTACACTTCTCACTAAACTTGTGTTTGCAAAATAGCTTACTGGAGCTCTGCCTCTGCTTGCAGACTTCATATGCTCATTAGTGTTTAGATTTTAATCTAAACACTAAGTAATTAGCAATTAGATTTGCTTTTCTTTCCACACTTTCAAACAACAACTGCTAAAATTCATTGTTTTTCACTTTTTCTTTTCACTTTCAAACAACAACTGCTAAAATTCCTTGCTTTTCACTTTTTCTTTCCCCCCACAGGTCTAATGGGTTTTCAAGTTATTGTGTATGTACAGCAAACAATGGAAGTACACACTAGAGTTTGTAGGGAATGTTTGGGGCTTTTTTCAATGCTATCTACTACCAACTCCAGTTATGAACTTACCCATATCAAGGCTTTTTATTACTATGATTTATGGTTAAGAGTGTTTATTACAATTATATCGATTAAATCTGTAACACAAGGGGAGTAAGATATATCACTGCAATCTTTCCTCTCTTAATATGACTGCCTCCGTATAATTGCAAGGACCTAGGTCAAATTTTCATCATCCAAGGAAGTTACTATGATCCATTGCCCTGTGAAACTTACTCTTCTGCCTTGTCAAAAGTCCTTTCAGGTAAGCTAGGAAGAAGGTACTCCAATTTAAAATTGCCTCTGTAACACTTCTTTTCAAAGCATTAGTGTGTACTATAAAAGCCAGGGTTTCTACCTTATAATGGACCATGAGAGTATTATAGCTAAAAAAGTGCAACTCTAACATAAACCAGGTTAAAATATGAAGGAACTGAACAGTGACTGTTGACTCTTTGTATCACATTGATGACATCTTCAATAAATATATTTTTAATATGCTTAATTATTCTAACTGTTCAGGAGTCTGATTTTTTGCTTTTTGTTACTCTCAGTTCTATTATCCTCATATGAAACAAAGATAAAATTCTTCATGATGAAGTCAGGAGACATTTTTAGACAAATCTATGAATCAGACAAGTTACTGGACTACACAGCTCATTCTAAGCTGGAATCAGTCAGTGTATTCACATGTACAAAGTATTCTGCTATACTATTTTGTATCTTTTTAAATGTTTCTGAGCCCTAGCACACACAGCCAAACTAGGGCTGTTCCAGCACAGACACCTCAGCAAGTCTTACAGCTTCTCAGGAGAACTCCTTGCCAGGAGACATGACAGCTTGGTTACTCGTGCTGAAAGGTGTTAAGGTGCTGTAACAGAGTTGGCGTTGGGCTGGCGAGCAGCCCTAGTCCTGGGAGGAGGTGCTTGACCTGCTGTGCAGGTCAAGTCCCATCAGTCTATTGCCCAAACAGAATTGGCAATATAAGCTGTTATTCAGGAGCTTTATTTCACACACAGTGTTTAAATAATCCTAAATTTTTGGCACTAAGGGTGCTGAAGTTTCACTTTTTCGTGTCTCCAGAGGCATGAGAACCTGAAATATGCTACAGTCTTCTCTCAAACATATGTCCTTTGCCATCACAAGTAAGATGCTCACATCCTACTTTTACTCAAGAAATCCCTCTCTAAGTGCTTCCCAGCAAGGCTTCACAGCAAACATGATCCCAGGAGGAAGGCAATAGCTGAGGAGCATCATAAATGTGAGAAATACAGGTTCGGTTCTCATCTATTCTTGAAGTCACTAAAATCCTTTATTTTGCTATCTCAGAAGAGTGGTCTCACCCTCTAGCTATACATTTTATGGATAGAGGCACTACTGATTTCTCAGTTGCTCCTTGATGAAGTATAACACTTTTCATAAATAATTACACACTCATATCAGTCTAGCCCAGGAGTTTCTAGGCACCACATCTCTCCTGAGAGCTGGCTTCAGCTTCCAAAGGAGCAGAAATGATTTTTTTTCATTTCTTTTTTTGTCCTTTCCTCACAGAAATGGTTAAGTTGGCATTTCCTTAAAGTGAAGGAAAGAACTGATACGTTTTTTCTCACCTGTTTCTGCCAGAGACAGCAGGGCTAGGCTGCTGTTGTGATCCCAGACGTGCTATGGGTTGCACAGTACTACAAAGATGATCTTCTTGCAACTGTAGACACGTCTACTTGGTGAAATAGGAGTTGCTGCCTGCAGACAGGAATCTAATGGTCTTGCACTCCTCTTGCCACACAAAACAGCTGAGCAGTGTCTGGTCTAAGGCCACAAGTGCTGGAGAGAAGCTGCACTGGGAGGTAGCTTTAAGTTGCCAGATCCGAGGCAAGAGAGCAGAAGAGTCACAAATGTCACCCCTGAACACTGAGATTTATTAGGACTGCCTAGGTATGTTTAAAGAGGATGGTCTCTATGTATGATATTTATGGAGTTCATCTTATATTAGGAGCTGTGGTTAAGGATACATTTAGAAGCACATTAACAAAGTTCTCTTCTGCTACACACCTCTAGTGGTCAGAAATTGGGCTTCAGATCTGCAAGCACGTTTCTATTTCAATTTATTAGTGAGACATTTCATCTTAGTAGCAGCGTTTTCTCTGACAGAAGATCAAGACAATGACTTGCTACATTTAAATTATGCATATTTGATTTAGCATTCCCTACTTATGTGGGCAGCAACTGAACTACCAAAGAAGCAAAACAGACGATTGTTAACACTGCTCTGGATGGTCTAAATATGTCACTTCTTGTACCTTGAAGCGGTATTTTGGCTCCAGGAAAAATAAAACAGCCACCTCCAGATTAGGATACTAGATTTTTATGTAATTAATTCACTTCTACCTACTACCTAATGTGGAATTATTAAACTCAATATTAATGGCTCTCAATATTGGTACAAGCTGTCCTAATACTGTATGAATTTAAGCATAAATAGACTCAAATGTTTAGACTATCCCTGAAAGTTAATATGCTTGAAGTTAACAGTTATTCAGACATGCAAAACATTGGGTTTCAAGTTGACAGGCAGAGCCACAGAACTGAGTTTCATGCATTCTTTCTGTAACAGTAATATGCAATAAACTGGAGACTTTATAACTAGAATCAACATACTTTTGGATCACCATTTTGTTAGCACAAAAGTATCTTGATGAGATCAAATCTTTTGCTTATTTTCAAAATACAGTTAGAGAGGAATGCATACACATTACAGCTACCATCAAAAGTGGATATAAGTGTTTCTTGCAAAAAAAGTCTAGCAAACCCTGTAAAACTTATAATGTAGCAAAGCTAACACATTGCCAGACTGAATGACTACAAGCTTCCTCTCAACTGCTTTCTAAGGGACAGTTATGCATCAGTATAGGTATCATCTAGGGCAGGAGAGCAAGATTAAGACACTTCCCAAACCACTATGATTATGCTTAGTAGCATCAAAGCTACTCCCTGCCATTGGTAGGCAGGTTTGCTACCCTTTAGTGGGAACAAAAATAGAGACATTCTGCTGTTGTAAGCATACTAACTACTGCTGAACTGGGGCCAGTTGACCAAGCAGGCTA